GGACAGGAAGGCCTGGCGCGATATGGTTCATGGGGTCACGAAGAGTCGGACAGGACTTAACGACTGAACAACAACAAATCTTTTAGAAGATGCATGAAAAAAGTATGACAATAAAAAAGTTTAAAATTGTGAATCTAATGAGAGTTTTTAACATTCTGATTCAGAGATTGATGTGTCCTCTTGTATGCATAGTATTCTATGAGGTAAAACCACAGTTCAGAATAGTGGAAGAACCCAAGTCTGCATTTATAACAAAGTCTGTGCAGATAAGATTCCAATGAATTATCAGTGGTTATGGATGATCAGCCAGGCCCAGCTCATATTTCCTTCTGGAGCATCATATTTTGGCCTTTTCTTATTATAGCATGGAGATTCCTGCTGGTACACTTCAGCTGGGTAGGATTTTCTGCTGCCAGAGTGTACCTCTACCCTCAACTACCACTTCAGATGGAAGTGTTTTCAAGCTTCTTTGAAACAAGGAAGCAAGGTTTACATTTTTTTTTTCACACCAGTAGTATATTTTCCCAATTGTTCTGGTACTTTTGCACACAAAGGCTATACAGAGCCTGATGATATTCCTTCTTGTGCATGGTTATTTTTATTTGGCCTAAAGCATTGAGGCTCACATACTGTATAAGCCTCAGAAATAAAGGGATTTATATACAGGTATGAATGAATACCAATTCAAGATCTTATGACAGGGCCCAGATTTTTAAAACAAAGAGGCAAAATTAACTAGGATGGAAAAGAGCTGTGTGCAGGGCCCTTCCTAAGAAGATCCTCTTCTTATTGATCCTCCTGAATCTCTTCTGTTGAATCCTTGGGCCATTTTCAGGTTGCAGAGGAGAGTACTTCTGCCCAGAAATACCTACAAAATTAGCAGAATAGAATCAAGTCTCAGGACAGCTGGATTATGCAGGCAGAACTTTCGTAATGGAAACAAACTAAAGTATTTAATGAAAAGGAACACTTTGATTAAACATAAAGAGTGCTACTATTGGTTTTGTTGCACTTCTGTCTGCAGCTTAAGATTTTTGAATAGTCGTGTGTGTGTGTGTTATTTTTAGATATACACTAAAGCTGTCTAATTAGAGGCTAAGAGTTTGTAGCAATTTTTTTAAATAGCTATTTTTTTCTCCTTGCAGGATCAGAAGTTAACCAAAGAAGAGATTCTAGATAATTGGAACATGTTTGTTGGAAGTCAGGCTACAAATTATGGAGAAGACCTCACAAAGAACCATGATGAGCTATGATGTTCTTTGAAAAGCAAGTGTATCAGAGACTTGTGTCTGAGTCGCCTATAGTGATCAGAATAACTCTGGTCATTATGGCAAATTAATTTTGCACCAGTATATACTTTCTAACAAAAAGCAATTCTGTTAATACCATTGAATGTCACAGATGCCACTTCTTCTAAATGCATATTTTAATGAATTCATTGTAACTTGGGGCGTGCACTTTCCATTTATAGCTTGACACACTTTCACTTCAATCCTAAATATGTAAACTTGGATTTATCACTAAAATCAGTGAGGTTTAACTAGTGAAACACAGTAAGACAAACAGCCTCCCATCTTCCTAACATGTACTACATCATACTGTGTATGGAGGGTTGACTAATTCAGTGCTCTTTCATGGTACATTCAAGCCCCGTATTTCAAAGAATGTGGAGTCTACTAGTTGTGTTGGGGTGCAACTCATCCCCAGTCAACATGGCCAATGGTAGGTGAAAAGCTTGGCTTTCATCCCTGCCATGTAGGGATTTGTTTGATGTCAGAATGTTTTCAAATGTTTTAATCTCATGTATAATGAAGTGGTAGACGCATCATATAAGGCTACATTACATGAAGTATAGTATCATAAAAATGCATTGCTCAGGATTTCAGTTGTAGGTCTCTATTCAGAACCAAGACCTCATCACAGATGGTTATATAACCCACAATGCTCTTGACAGCTGGCAGATGATCAGCCCTGTCATTTCTGAGGGTTGTTGCAAAGGAGACATCTCCCAGTACTGATTCCCTTCCAGACTAATGAGAATGTCTGGATTGGGGTATTTTCAACAAGCTCCGGTATTTTCATAAAGAAGAAAATATATATGTTACTTTACTCTTTCTACATTCTTTTTCTAAGATGGGGACAGGCATTATGGTGCTGTTGGAATGCTTGACCCTACTGCTGAATGTGATGGGAGGTGCAGTGTTAAAACATCTGAAAGGCACCAGATTGCCCTCCACTGTTCTAAGATGTAATTTATGGGATGTATGTCTGTGTTCCATTTTGAAAATTCTAACATCAGAAAAGGTGCTCATTTTCCATCTTCATTTCCTCCTTACAGGCGAGCGTAATAGTACTGAATAATACGAAAGGCAGGGGTACCACAGGGAAGGAGAATTGGTACACATTCCCCTGAATACTTGCCATCAGACAGGGCTTGAGCACAAGCAGCTATCTTAGTGTGGGACCCTGTGAATGTTTTTGTTGGTGCTGTTGTGTGTGCGTGTATGCACACGTACATGGGGGGAAATGTACCACTTTTAGATTTTTGCTGTCACCTATTAACTTACTGTATTTCATGCTGCATACAAGCTTTTCCATGTATAATTGCATTTTTGCCTTTATGGACCAGAACAATAAACGTGTAACAGTTTTTGATATAATTTAAAAATCTCAGAAGTGGAGATTAAGAAGACATCATTCTAGATACTTTCTTTCCTAATACAATTAGTGGCTGCCTGTGAAAAAACCAGCTCATATTGAATTGCCTTTCCTGTAATACTTTAATTCATTTTCTGACAAAATTCAATCTGATATGAATGGGGAAACACCACATACAAGTTATAGGCTGCAACAAGATAAATTACAGCCTTTTCCTACTTGACATTCTCCACATGCTTTAGACTATAGCTCCTATTATCCCCAGCATGAGGAGAGACTGGCTGGAAATTTATGGAAGTTGCAGCCATAATAGCTCTGGAGGGACTAGGCTGGGAAATATTGGAGTATCATGGTCTGGGTCCCACACAGTGCTAAGCTATAATTTGGTTTATTTGATTCTGTCTTAGCATGTTATGCAAACCACGGATTATAGGTTAGCATAATATAGGAACCCAAGCATTGTGGTTTAATCAGTGAACCATGGCTTAATGTTATGTGAATCTAGATGATTTTGGAGAAATGTGTTCCTGCAGTGCATCATGTCAGTTACTGCTGTTGTATAGGAGTAATAGTTTTTATTCTGCATGAATGACAAAGGAAGATTGAGCTAGCTTCTCTCAAAAGGCAGTTGGCATCTTATGGGAGGGTACACCATCCATGTCAGGCATGGGAAAGGTGGGGTTGCACTGCTCTTTTCTAGCAATGAGAGTGGAGGAGAAGATCCAAGTCACTTAGAAAAAATGGCACAGACTCAGTTTGCCTTTGTGGAACAGGAAGTGAATGCACTGTCCTTACTAGCTGAAAGACAAAAGAATGGCTCCTAGGCCCAGCCACAATGTGTGGATCTCCGTGGGGAAATCCTAACCCCAAGCATAACTTATCTGGGAGTGCTGTTGGAAAGAGTTCCGACTTTATCTCTGCTGCCAACTAGTGGTCTACTAGATTTTTGCATCCCAGATATGCTATGTAGCACAGATTATGGCTCCCCGTGGGCAGACAACAAAAATGCAGCATATGACATTAAAACAGTATTTAAAGAGTGGTTTACATGACGTTCTTGGGGAAGCACCAGTAAAGATCTTATATGGTTCATTCATGCAATGTGATGCACTACCAGGGTGAAGGAATTGTTCGGGATACACGTATTGAAACTTTCTACTACCTTTGTCCTTGCACATTCTCCTCTGGCCCATGCCAAGCTGTTCATTTTCAGATATACCAGGTTTCAGTTTTCGGAATTTCCAAACAACATAGCTTTTGATGATGCTGGTTGGGAATTCTGGAAGCTGTAGGCACAACACATCTGAAGAACATTGGATTGAGGGGAAATTAAGTTTTGGAACCAGAGAATAATGGAAAAAAATGCAACAAAGTCTATGAAATTTCCTCTCTTAAATAAATCTTTGAATTTTTATGAGTAGCTTGAAGTGATATTTAACATGTTAAAAAGGGAATGAACAAAAATCCTAATTACAGCAATCTTGAAACATTTTGATAATACTTCAGGATACTTTTTCTATGTGTTCAGGAAAAGTAACTGTAAAAGAGACCAAGGCTGCTGGGCTTAAATTCAACACTATTTAATGAAATCAAACCTTTGCTAGGTGATAAGCCTAAGCATAATCAATCAATCAATCAATCAATCAATCAATCAAAAGGGATTTTAATGGAGCTTGACTGTTCCAGAGATGTTTGTCTTGGTAATATAGTTCAAGCCCAATTATGACAAATGCTACAAAATGTTATGGTAATAATATAATGTCATATAGTATAATTTATCTTCTTAGTATGACAAAAAGTATTAATTGCATGATTCATTCCAGCAGTACAGAAATCCATTTTGTGCTTTTCTCATCAGTTACTGCAGATTTTTTCTTCATGAATGTTTTTTTCTACCTGCAGCTTCTCTGTACTCACTGGTGTGACACAGATCTTCCATTAACTAAATGTCTTTATTATGGCAATGCCATGACACATCAAAGGACACCTCCTCTTTCTTCAGTACATAGAACATTTTTAATAATTAGTGCGCATGCAGTTTTTGTTATTAGGATTTACCAAATGGTCTAAGAGGCTGATATTCATTGTCTTAAAGTCCCATTTAACTATTCAGTTAAATTGTCAGCAATTTCCAGTCAAGATAGTATTTGTCTTACAAGATAGGGAAAATACTGCATATACAGCTCTAATTATTTTATATAAGGACTATCTCCATGCTTTATACTTTGCACTGTAGAAGCTGAACTTATTCTTACTGAAATTGGTAGTAAGTTCATAACTTTATAAAGAGAGAGACAGAACTCACTGTGATCCCAGATAATAAGTAAACATACAGTTTATTTGGAACTTTTGCCCTATGTTCACTTACTTGAAACCCCAAAGAAAAATGTGTGCGTGGAATAAAGCTTCCGACATAATTGCTGCAGATGCAAATGTATTTGCTCATGCAAACATGTATGCTGGGCCCTGTTAATTAGATATATATATTGTGATGTAACTTCACATGGCCCATCTAGAGTCACTAGTCTTTGGATAAGAATTGTTACTTAGGAGATATGGTATGCCAGTTTGCACTGCCCTTGAAGATCAGCTTGTCCTTTTATGAACTTTGGTCATAAATCAGGTATATCTCTACCTGGAGGAGAATCTTGGTTTAGTGACTCACATGCTAGTAATCTCAAGTCTGGATTGTTGTAATAGGTTCTGTGGGGCAGACCCTTGAAGATAGTCTAGAAATTGCAGTTTGCCCAGAAAGTTGCCGCATGGGTAGGTGAGTAGTCCCACATAATCCTCACCTTGAAGAACTTCATTGGTTGCCAGTTGCCCTCTGAAAATGTTCAGAAAATGTTGCCTTCTTAAAATGTTTACAATGGTGTATAAAGCCCAATAAATAATAAATAATAAAGCTTAATCCCAAGGTGACTTACGGAACAACATCTTCCTGTGTTAGTCTGCTCTACATTCTTTGGGACACTTAATTGTGGTTGATATTAGTGGTTATCTCTGCTTTCTCTGCAATGGGAGCTCATATTATAAGTTGCCACTGGAACTGAAACAACTCCATCCTTTATTACCATGTAGGAGCTAAAGCCTTAGTATTGTTAAGTTTTTGGTGTTTTATATTTCTTGAGGGATATTTTTATATGAATGATTTTGGGCTGTTCATTGTAAGGTCTCCAGAACTATAATGAAATGAGAGGACGGCAAATAAAATGTTCAAAGAAAGGCCAATAGTTAGTTGTTCTAGGGCTCTTTTTAATCCGTAGATGCTATATCTTAAAGCATTTTCATAAAACCTTGAATTTCTCATTTGATTATCTTTAACCTCATGTTACAGTTATAGATAAGACATAGTAACATCTGGAGTCCTTGGTGCTCTCTGCACTTGGTTGTTTGCTTGCAGTTGTTTCATTACCGAACTAGGTAACATCATCAGTGCGAGTGAGTGTAGGGTCTCCTCCCTGTTTGAATACAGTAGCTTGCCCTGCCAGTGTTGGTGGGGGTGTGGTTTTCTCCTTGGTAGTTCCTTGATTAGGGTATTGTTTTCTGCTTGATTGTTTGCTTGGTGTTAATCCCTGCTTATCTGAGTGTTGGCTGCTGGAAACTCTGTGTTCTGGTCTTTTATTTCAATAACAAAAGGCTAAATGTTTTGTCATTTCACATATTACAGACAGAATTAGCATAGCGAGATGTATCAGTGAGAACAGAAACATAAACCAATATTTGACCTTAAGGCTATGCCTGCCAGGCGGAGGACCTGAGGACAAAAAGGAGAACATGTCCTCCTTTTGCTGGATGTCTGGTAACCCTAATTCAACCAGAACAATCACTGATGGTAAGATACAATGCTACATTATCTAGGATGAGAAAGTAAACCCTAACTGGCATGGCTTCTCTTGAGCAATTCTGAGAATTGCCTGACATTATGTCCTAATATATCAGCATAGGAATATAAGAAGCTAACTGGCCCCAAGTCTATCTTGTCCAGATCAGTTTATTTCCAATTTGTATCAGCTTAATCTATGCTTGTACAGCACCGGGCAGTGCACACCCCAAAGAAGTACAAAGCATTCTGAAAACAGCCCATAATGCACCCATATAGCACTACACATATGTATGAACACACTTGGCATTTTTTAAAAAAAACATTTTCCCAAACCATATATTTCTGTATAGCTTTTATCATCAAATACACATTTTGTGCATACTTACCCTATTTTATATTGCTTTGCAGCTGTGATGTAATACAGCAGCCTGGGAAACATACACAAACTGAGGGATGGCTATGTCTGATTTGCATAGTATCCCAGAAGATGAGAGTTAGATCAGTTTCCTTTAAAATGTGGCACTCCTATGCCATTGTTCCCTAGCAGTTATATTCAGTGTCATGTTGTCGAGAATACAAGAAATTTCACTTAGCCATTATACCAACATCCATTAACAGATCCTTTCTGGATAAAAATAATAACATAAAATTATATTTTTAAAAAGCTTGTCCAAAATAAAACCCATTATGAATTCTAGTGGTACAAGTGATTTTTTTGGTGGGGTGGGGGGGTCATCTGTTCCCTATCTGTTGCAAATCAGTCTGGGTGATCCCAAGTATTATGTGGAGAGTAGAAAAAGTTTTAAATTTTCCATTTTTATAGTACATTTTCATTTTTAAAAAACAAAATTATCTCTATCCAATTTTTCTCTTATCACAATGTAGCCTTGTTTTATAAAGATACTGTAATAGGCCCAGTGGAATGTGGGAGTAATGTAATTCATATTAATCAGATTGGGATGATACATCCCTCCAGATATTGATTCACCCTCATAAATGAATGCCAGAGGAACCACAGAGGATACACCAGCTCAGCTACAGTACCTAGAATTAGATATAGATTCAAAACATGAACACAAGTCTTCTTAATGCATTGAACAAACAGAATTTAAAAGAAGCCAAACATACAGTATATTGAAATAGAAAGGTAATATTTTGCTGGGAAGCCACTTGGAT